ACTCCAATGGCAGGTCCGAGACCACCCCCGCTAGCTCAGTCAGGGAGTCTGTAGTGCAGCGAGGTGGACGGTACACTAACAGAATCCCTAATCTGTCCCGGTCACCCACCCTCAGGTGGACGCATTCAAAATTTGTTGACTGCGGGATGGGGGCCCTGGTCAGAAGAATGGAATCTCTATAGACCACTGCAACTCCGCCTCCCCGCCCTCCGGATCTCGGTTGGTGCTGCACAGAGAAACCTGGCGGGCAAAGCTGGGTCAAATTTACACCTCCCGCTTCGTCCAACCAGGTCTCCGTGATGCACGCCAGATCTGCCCGTTCATCCAGGATTAAGTCCTGGATGAAAGTTGTTTTGCCATTGACAGATCTGGCGTTCAACAGCACCACTTTCAATTCGGAGGGACCGCCATCCTGGTTACACCAACTTATATCAGGAGACCGACTTGGAATTACTAATGTTGTTCCACGTTCCCTAGGCCGAATTAGAGGTCTCCTTTTCCCGTATCTCCCCCTCCCCACCACGACTTCTATGGGGGCTCCCGTTAACGGAAGCCTCTCCCTCCTCCATGACGCATTCAGCAGCCATAGTATCAACCCATAATTCATTGTTGACTGTTTGATATATTATAGCTTTAAATTGCCATAGTCTTGCCTTCCATTCATTTCCCGCTCCTATTATGTTATACTCGGGACTTTCTGAATTACTCCGTTCCCTCTCTCTACCATAAACAATTAGCAGCAAGATTAACAAATGCCAGGGAATGGGTAGTGACATGGATGGTAGTTGTTAAACACTGACAAAGGAGTTTCGCTAAGGGTCTTAAAGTGCAGATAAAAAATTGTGTCAGCATACACGATAGTATAAGTAATTAAAGTGCAGTAGCTTATCAATTGGTTCTAAAGTGCTAAATGAAATGCGTCATGGAGGACTCAATTTCAGCGCTGGATGGTTGAGTCGGTTAAAGTGCTAGAGCTCAGTAAGATTAATGGACCACAGAAGTAGTAATTTAAAGTGCTGGTAGAGTAAAGTGCTAGAGTCACACAGGATAATTGTGCGCTGTACTTATTAACAGTGTAACGGTTAGTTCTTAATTTTTAGTTCTTAATTTCTCTGTTCAGTCATTAAATATAGTTGTTATTATTACTGCAGTTAAAGCCCCCCCGCCTCTCAGTTTTATAATGCTGTCTCAAAAGATGTATCAGGTAACAAAATAGACAACACAGTCCTTCTAAGGTTAACGCTGATGGGGTCCCCTCCACAACCACCATAAAGGATGGTCAACACAATCAGCAAAGGTGGACAGCACAGTCAAATCAGCAAGGTGGTTGGAAGGGGGGGGTGCGGAAATACTGTTTGCTTACCGTTGAAAATTACCTAGGGCCGCCTCTGCCTAGGACTAAGGTGATTATTGTCCAAATACATCCCTAGTTAACCTTCATAGTTGTGTGCTCTATCGGCTATCTCTACAAAAGTATTTTTACAAGCATTTCCAAAAAAACATTTCGCTGAATACTATTTATATCAAAATGCATCTTGCTTTATGAAAAGCACTCTCCCCCCCCCCCTCTCTATATCCATCCATTCATCCATCCCTTAAAGTGCCATGCAAATAGAGTTTACCTGGAATCATTAAGTACATCAAGTTTGGCTGATGGACAAGCTTCTAAATTGCATTACAAAAGACAAAGAGAGTCTTGCAGGGTTGCGGAAAGTTGCCAGAATAGGCAGCAAAATGATTCTGGGTCCTTGGTATTTATTGCTTGTGATTATGAGACGTGCTTATCAGAAATAATTTGATTTCAGATTTTCCACTCTGGGCTATACTCCAAGCCTCAAAGGCATTAAGTAGTTTAAATTTGCCATAGGTGTTCACAGAAAGGGACCTTGTGTTGCCAAGAGCAGCATGCTATCAACAAATGGGCCACAGCCTGCTGAGCTCCCATCTCTCAAATTAAATACATGCCAGGTGCTCCTCCAGATTCAGTGGCAACACAGACCAAAATAAGCTACACAGGAAATTCAAAGCTTGCTGATACATCTCACTACTAACTATAAAATTATTTCACAAGTAAATTAATGTATTAAAATGATTGACCAATCTAAAATCATCCACAGGTGTTACTGAGATAGAGACACTTTTGCATTCTGATGGTTCCATGTACACAAACCTTGTTTCAAGCACAAAATTATTAGAAATGTTGTATAAAATTATTTTAAAGCTATGTGTTTAAGGAATATATATGACATAAATGAATTTTGTATTTAGACTTGAGTCCCATCTCCAAGATACCTCATTATCTACATATGTTGAAGTAGAAGTATTCCAAAATATTAAAAAGTATCCAACATCTAAAATACTTCTGGTCATAAGCATTTCATATAAGTGATGTTCAATGCACTAACTTGCATCTCAGGATTGTTATAATTATAGACATAATCACATAGAAAACAAGACTGATTTTAAATTTCAAAATTATATTAATTTTATCTCCTCATCTTCTGGAAAAGTAATGGGTGGATATTCTACTTGTCTTCTAAGGCCCCTTCTACACTGATCATTTAATGCAGTTCCAAAATGGTATTGAATAAAGTGGTTTCACTCTGCAGATGATAGCATAGGAAATCTTGCAACCAGTTTGAGGTTGGATGGTGATTACACAAACCACAGAGATTTCTTCCACACATGTTTATGGGAGTTTGTTGTTTGGCTGCTGTAGTTTGAAGCCAGCTTTGCACTGCATTAAATGGCCAGTGTAGATGGTGCATAAGTTCACCACTATTTGGTTATCTATATTGATGTAGAATTTTTCATTCTGTTTTTAAGAACCAGAGACACAGTTTTAATGATAGACAAATCTTATTACTGTCCTAATACTTATACTTGTTTGGATGAGATCATTGGCTTCAGGTGAAAAGTGGTATAGTGGTTAGAGTGCTGGATGTGCGATTTGGGATATCTGGATCCAGGTTTCCAATGAGTCATGAAACTAACTGAATGAACTTGGACTAGACACTCTCTGCCTGACCTACTTTACAAAATAAAGGGTTTACGTCACAGCAAGGATGTTGTGAGAATAAGGGGGATGAGATGCAAGGCCAATGGCATTCGGATGTAATTACAAGCAATTACAAGTAATAATTGTGATCACTTTTGACAGGAAGGTAAGCAGTTCAATTGCAATTTGAACTCATAGGAACTAATAACAGTAATTCTTTACTTTTAACTCAATTTTCAAGGTTTTTTTTATTGGTACTTTAAAACATTGCCTCTTCCCACTTAACATGTCATGGTTTTTTTATGAATTAAAAACAAACGAAAAACTGCTAGATCAGAATAGAGGCCCATCCTGACCTCCATTTTCCTATAGGAAGCTGGCCCAGCAGGACAGGAGTAAAAATGTTCATCATAAAATCTGGAAGCATCTCTTAGCAAGTAAAATGATCTTTCATTACATGCTCCAAAAATGCTTCTTCGTGCCACAGTTTCCTTTTCTTCATAAAGCAATTCTGACAAAAGAATCCCAGGGGGTTACATCATGTCACATTTTAAAAAACACTAAACAGAGAGGTCAGATATTTAACTGGCACTTTAACTTATTCACTCTAAATACAAATTCCAGACAACAGACATGACACATTTAATTAGCTCCAAACCAAGATCTAAAACTTCTCTTGTTTAGAGAGGGAAAACCTCTTACCTTTCGTAGCAATTCGAACACACTGGGTCTTGGTTTCCTGTGAAGAAGAATATTAGGAGAAAATGCAATTAGCTCCATATCTCTATTGTCCAGCCTCATTAGTAACCATCAGTTGTGTGCATCAGCTTGAGAAATACTTGGCAAATTTGGCAAAAATTAGCTTAATTCATCTTACATGTCTTACAGATAAAGTCTGAAAGGATGCTTTTAGGGAAAATAAACTTCAGAGTTCAGCTCAAATGATTATAGTCTGTAGGATGTGTCAGGCTGCGCTATAGGATCAAGATCAAGGAGGTTTCAAGCAATTTACTTCAGGGAAACAGAAATGCATCTAGTTGAATTCTGACTATATTGCCATTAATTGTGGTGCATACTGTATCCAACAATGAGAAAATGTCATGATATGCCAATTTCACAGCCTTAAAACATAAAGAAGTTCACATTTTAGCCACCTAAAGCTTAGTCGCTGTTAAATGAAACACAAGGAAGGACCATGACAAAATGTCAAAATGTAGCAGATACAGATTTGGAAAGAATGGGGAAACTGTGCTGGTGGCAGAGGCCAAACTTCATTTTTTGTCCCAATGGAATATGATGGTTCTTGTTGAGTTTTATTTTTGGCAAAGGCACAATTTTTTTACTTTAGGTAGCTTTAGGTGCATTTTGGGGGGAGTAACAATGTACTGTTTCTGTATTCCACAAAGGCTACTCTACACCTTATTTATAGAAAGGATGGTGATTCTATATAAGAGTGATCAGGTCTAATATATCAAGCTACATATGCTGTACAATTTTGCATTCTCACTAGATGTGGAAGAAAGTTGCCTTATATCTATACCTCTCAAGCGATAATTCCAGCTTTAAAGTTAAATCAAAGGAAAATGTATCTGGGTAAGAATGTCTAAAATGGCTAATGATGTGTAGGTCTTCTAGACCAGGGATTATTAAAACATTTTCCATTCACAACTCCCTTTCTGTCCAAGAAATTTTTACACGGTTCCAGGTATATAAGTATATAAAATACATATAAAACTCAAACATTTACTGAGGATCAGCATTCCAAGGCTTGCAAAACAGTTTGATTATCAATATATTGTCAAAGGCTTTCATGGCTGGAATCACTGGGTTGCTGTAGCTTTTTTTGAGCTGTATGGTCATGTTCTAGAAGCATTCTCTCCTGATGTTTTGCCTGAAACTATGGCAGGCAACCTCTGAGGATGCCTGCCATAGATGCAGGTGAAACGTCAGGAGCGAATGCTTCTAAAACACGGCCATACAGCCTGAAAAACCAACAACAACCCAGTTTGATTATCCTTGAAGTACAGCTGAAGCATTTTCTGCAGAGTTCACTGTAAACACTATTGATAACAGATTCGTGTAGATGTCTAAAACTAAATGGCATTCAGAAACCTGTTGCCATTTTTTCCACAATGCAAACATTGAGCTAAGGGGACCCCACAGGGGGTCAGAACGCACAGATTTAGGAGTAGTGTTCTAGGGTCTCTGCCAGTCTTCCACCTCAAACTCCATTTACAGATCTGTCTCCCAATTACTCATACAGGTTAACATAACATTATACGTCTCTAGCAAAATGAAACTGTTTCTATTTTTTAAATAAATAAATAAATAGGCATTAGCTTTTTCCATCAGGAAAATCTTCCAGCTCCACGGCTGCTCCAGCATATGGTTTCACAAGCTATGACATTCTCCCCTACTTGCTACAATGAACAGTTAATTCTTAGAACTATAGACATTAGGCAAGACTTCATCCTAGAGGCTCACTAGCAAAGTCATTGAGAGCTGTGATCTCTGCATTACTAACTGCAGCAGAAATCCTAATGTGAGGGTAGAAATCACTTCGGTATGTTTCGAAAGTAGATTAACCTTCCTATAGCTTATCAATCTAGTGACAACTTCTCCAAATCTCTCTCCCCCACTCCATGTTGTCCTAGCCATCTGCTGCTGGGACACAATAAACAGGAGCCTACAATTTCATGGAAAACTATACTTAATTTTGAAATTGAAGTTTTAAATATCTCAGCTACTGTTCTGAATGCTGTTTTCTCTCTATCATCTCATATTTCAGTTTATAAGAGAAAATGACTCAGTGGCAGCAGCATGGGGTTTATCGAGTCATGTTGCTTTTCACACCTAGAGCTGCCTGCAGTATTTAACTTCCTGTTGCTTTGTTCTCTATCAATATGCACACAGAAATAGAAGCAGTACTCAATGGTGTCAAAATATCAAACAGTGAGGAAATAGCACTGGCGAACTGCAGCCGTACCCTTAGTACCATCTCAGCAGTCAAGCAATTTTGAACTTGTGTACTGAGGCTTTTCACAAACATGCCGTGAGTATGGGAGTTACTTTGCCATAAGTGGCTTTTTAAAACAATTTTTTCATTTGATGTTTGGTGTGCAAGGGTCTGAAAGTTGGTAATGTTTTATTAGCCTGCTGAGCAATCTGGATTTTGTTTATCCTGAAGCAATTTAATCTTCTGAACTGTATGGGCACTGAGAACAGTAGGAAGGATAAGGATTATTTTCCTGGAAATGCAGAATCATAACATAGTTAAAATTATTGTACTGAAACTACTGTTCAAAGACTTATTAAATTTCTAAAAGTAATATTAGTTGTGAGCAAACTGGCATGTGGAATATGAATGGCACGGCATCATGTTGCCTGGAAAAAAAGATGAGTTACCAAGACTGTTCATATAATCTCTCCAACTCTTAGCAATTTAGGCCACAGTCCAGAACGCTTTTACACTTTAGATGGCATGAGATGGACAGCTTCTGATGGTAGATTTAGATCAGGAGTGAATTATTTTGGAAAGGCTAGGAGTCAATATTCTGCCCCTTTGTGGAGGGGGTGGTGGTGGTGCAGCTGAGGCATTTCCAAAATGTCAAACGATCCAATTTTGAGAAAAGAGAGAGATGTTTTTCAAGTGGATGGGCTACAGCCTGCTTTGAAAGACAAATTTCCACTTCCAGAGATCTTCAGGATAAGAAGGGAGTCTGGAGGGTCAAATGGTGCAGAAACAGCCTTTGGGGTACACACATGCTGTCTTAGGATTTGTAAAATATTTTAGGACTATATAGTTTAAGTATCTTGAAGATGTTTTCCAGAAAAGAAGGATATGTATTTTAAACCATTTTATTTTCTCCAGGCTATAGACTTTACAGACTGTGACAAAGAAGGACCGGGCAACTCTTTGGGAAATGGTAATTAGTACTCCACCTTGCCTGTGCCCTCCACTGCACAACCTGGGCAATGCCTCTAAGTCAGGTAACATATTCTTGGCAGAACCTCCATGTTCTCTAGGTTACATACATTTGAGAATGTAGTATTAGGCAAGTGCCCTTTAGCAGTCCAGCCATATTCTTCAGATAGGATGGAGCCAACCATATAACTGACTATGTGTGTGCCCCTACAAGCTTTCATTTGGCTTTAGTATGCTGGTGGAACAACTTCTTTCTATGATTCTAGTAGGATAGAATATCAACTAGCAAAGCCCACTATGTTATCCATAGGCCTACCATAGGAAACTTTTGCACAAAACAGGCTTCTGTTTTGATTTAGCTTGCTGTGCTCGATTCTTTCTTTTTGACATTAGCTGGCTTGGTTACACCAGACTTTTCTACTGAGACTGAATTCATCCCCTGTCCTTTTCTACTGACTCAGAATCCCCCCCCCCCACTTTTCTGATCTGACCTTGTCAGTCTTCCCCATGAGCCTAAGATAATCATAGAATGAAGGATAAATGAACCCTTAACCCTCTCTTCCTCTTTGATGGGTTTTCATGCTGCTAAAGATAAATTTCTCAAATCTGTTGGTGGAACCAAAACTTGTTTACTGTATATGTATGTTTGGGGAGTCTACTGCGGAAAGGGAGAAAGCAAAATCTTAATTCAAGACATGCTGTGTTCCCTAAAACAGATGTGAGCATCTGTGGCCCTCCAGATGTTTGACTGTAACACCAGTAATATTTCACTTTTGCTGAGCTGACTAGGCATTAGGTTTATAGCCCAACAAAACCTAGAACACCACAACTGCCATCACTGCCAAGACTGTCTGTTCGAATCCGGTCTGATAGTCCTCCTAATTGCTAGCAACAAATCTGATACATTCCTGGAAATGCAGTAGGTGCCTACCTTCTCAACACTACTCATGGCTTGGAAGTAGATATTATAACCTTTCCGAGGAGCCAAAGGTGGGTTCCAGAAGCCTTGGTAAGTTCTGTTGTCACCAACTGTGAAGGGAGCTGCTTCAGGAAGGTTACCAGGTGGCAGTTCTGCAGCAAAATAATATGGTGAGCCACCACTTAGAGCATTCTGATATGTGACTGGAATCTGATAGCAATCCATTGCACCAGTTTCACGCTTGGTTCGATGAGGATGCAGTTCTTCAACAACAATTTGATAGGCACTGTTAAAGACCAAGAGGAAAAAACAATAATTATAATATTGAAGTAGACTTATGACACATATGACCAAATGGTTCCACAGATAGTTCAAAAGTACAAGATGAGGAGGGAATCTAGTTTGAAAACAACAGCTTATGTGTCCAAAAATGGAATTCCTTTCAGTGAAAGACTGTCGTTGGAAAGTAGTAATTTTATTTTTTCATAATAATTAACTCTCTACCCCTTTCTCAGTTATCTCAGTACTAATTCTCCAAGCCTCTCTTCCTTGAAAGATCTAATGGAACAACAAGAAAAACCTTGTCAGCAGTGACACAGACTTTGAAGTATTAAGCAGTCCAAAACTGGATCTCACATTAGGCACAGACATTTGTAATAGATTAAGTCTTGGGCTTGATAATTTGCAGTATTTGAAGTTAGAATTTGCCTTTGAAATGATATTATAGAAAATGCAGCTTCAAGGAACAACGTGGCAGCCTCCAAGCAATGCCTGAAGCACCAATTTGCAGTTGTCACATTATGTGAGACAAAGCGTGTCGACAGGCATCTCCACCTTTTGACCTTGATGTGGCATGGAGCTTGGCTCACAGCTATGCAGATCTAAAGTATAAACGACATCCTGTGATACTGGCACAGATGGATGGAAATCTGTCCCTCACTCCCTCCAAGTAGTCTGCCTCCTTTCCTCCATTTGCCACAGACAAAAATGTTACGAATTGCTGAAGCAGATGGCATTCAGCCTATTTAATAATAACTTTTTTAAAAAACAAAAAAAACCCCACAAAACTACAACTTGCCAATATGTTCCTTGCAATGACAGTTCTTGGTCATTCCCCATAAAAATATCATTTTAGTAAAAAATGTAATTGTAATTCTATTTTTTTTCCTTTAAAATAGCCAGGCAAACAGCAGAAACAAAAGACTTAAGTAATAATCAGCATTTGGATGTTGTGATAGAAAATGCAAAAAGTGATAAAGATTTATTTTTAAAAAGTATTTTAAAATTTCTCTAACTTCAACCTATGCCAAAAATAAAATAAGATGTGACAGCATACTAGAAGATGGGAAGTATACATTCAGTGTACTACATAAATAGATACAAGTATTATTCAGATAAAAATATTCTGTTGTTTCTGATGGATGAACTGGTATTATCCACTATAGAGTCATGGCATTTAAGTGAAAATGGTACAGGACACTATTGACACTTAAAGACTGTGAGAAGAGTACAAGCACCTCTTTTTCCTCCCTTTCCTTCCTAGTTAGCTACAGTAAGCTTTTAATCAGAGTTCAATACAAACCCAATTATGTAGTTTGTCTTACAATTTAGGAATAAAATTGGTACCAACTTTCAGTTTTGGACATTCTTCATAGCACTTTAGTGCTTTAATGAAATAATTCATTCTTAAAGTACAGCAATTCTGCAGACTCCCTATAGCAAGAAGAATCCATCAGTACGATATAGTTACACTGAGGACAGAATATGGATTATCTTCCAGTTGCATGTTTTTATACAGTGGTGTGCAATATAGTGGCTGCCCAGACTAGTACCAGTCTATAAGATATAGCTGGCCAGTTTCTGATAAGTTTCCAGGGGGAAAAAAACAAGATAGAATTATGTTACTAGGACCTGCCAGACTGGGGGGGAAATATTGCTTGTCTCCCACATCAGACAAACTGAGAAGCACTACTTTAATCAGAGAGAGTTCAATTGCTCAGTTCAATTCTAGCCTCTATTAATTTAGGCTAGCTCAATTAACTGTCCCTTTCACTGACATTCAGTCTTTAAAAGGGGGCCCCTGTTATTTTGTCTCAATTTCTTGGTGGGGGAAGGTTTGAAATTCTATGGAGTGCTTGAAGGATCTATGGATTTGCACTTGCTGCACACTCCGGTTTATCCCCAGAGAGCAAAGAACAGACTTGCTTTCCACCAAACTTTGAGACTAGTCAAAGAACCAGCAATCAATTGCTGGAGATGAAAAGTGCTGGTCTTCAGTGGACCGACAGATAATCCACTGATGAGAAGAAGGCAGTTACAATGACACAAATGAAGACTGAATAGATAGTTCTTCAGTAACAATCCAATGCTGCATCTTCAACCTTTTATCTAGTATGAAATCCCATTGGACAGACACTTTGTAACCTCATCTCAATTACAATATAGAAATATTGACACCAAACTGAATCACAGGTTGTAATAATATATTTTCCTTACCAGTCCTCTAGTAACAGTATGATATTAACAGTATTCTTGCATATTTTTACATATTAATGTTATTATTTCCTTAGAAATTGAGCAATTTTACAGTTGCAAAGTTAATTTGAGGGCACAATTCATGATACTTCAAGAATCGAAGTAGGAAACGTGATGTTTTTCAGGTGTTTTACGCTACAACACTTAAAATCCCCAACTAGCATGGTCAAGGATAATGGTGTTTTAATCTAAGAATTCAAGAGGACTGCCTCTGTACTAGAGCACAGCTATTTATAAACTTTCAGGATGGAATGATGGAAAAATGAGAGACAAAGTCACAGTTCTTCCATATTTAAAATCATGCACATGTTTCTCCCCACCTCCCCCCATAAACTCTAATCAGGTATGAGGAAAATGACGCAGGGGGATGAAAAGCAGGGTGGACAAATGGTGATAAGCAAATCAAAAGTGTATTTTTTTTGTTTCTGATACTTTCATATTTTCTTTACTTCCATCTTTTAAGGAATCCAGGCAATAACAGGTTTCAATCAAAGTTCTGTATATGTAGTTGGGCTGCCCTACTGGGAACACAGACATCTTATCTTTGCCTCTGCAGACACGGCCGCTCCTTTCTTTTGAGCTGCCAACACGAAACAACTGACAAGGCTTCTGCTCTCCAAAGCACCAGAAGATCAGCTAACTTGTCAATTTTAATATCTGGCTAGTTTAAAAGAAAAAGGCCAGAAGGGAGAATGGAAACAGAGTGCACTGCACACACGTAAAACAAAGAAGGAAAAAGTTGCTTTATGTATGAACCAGTTTGAGCTTTTAACACAGAGCCAATAACTCCTACAGGGTAAGAATTGCAAACATTCATTAACATTTAGAAAGGTAGTAGAAAGACAAGGAAGGACCCACTTGGATACGTGAAAGAAGAGCAAAGTTGTTCAAGCCGTTGTTGGCTCCAGTGTCTCAGTAGAGTGTGTCAGAAAAGCGACTATAGTTGATAGTACAAAAGGTATTAGCCTCTAGCACTTAGAGTAGTTATTTTTGGTGTATGTCATTGAAGTTCGTAGTTTTAATTAGACCATTGAATTCACTGGAATTTGCTAAGCCAACATGTACATAATTTTTGGTTTAAAGGGCCTACTCTAGTAACTAACAACTGGATCTAGGCTTTTTTCTGCCCCTGAATTCCTTTTGTGCATTCTTGGCTCTTCTAAAAAAAAACCCAATAAAATGAGCAGGTTTTTTGGACACAGTAGTTTGTCACCAAATTTTGGCAGCAAACTGTGACCACAAGAAAAAAAATTAGTGTTGCCTCCTCCTTCTTGCTGCATCTCTTGTTTTCTTCTTTCAATCATGGAAGAAAGAAAAGATGAGAGCAAGGATGATGGAGGCTGTGGTAGAAGTTCTTACAACCCCTATTACTTAAAAGGGGGGAAACGGGAGAAAGGGTGTGTGATAAACATTACTTTTCAGAATCTCTTGTTTTCTTTAGAAACAAAGACAAGGGAGAATAGCTGTAAAAACTGCTTGTGCTGTGTGTTTATAAGGCAGTTTTATTGATCACCCCCTCCATGCCTTGGCTTTGCTCCCTGGGATTCTGAAAACAAGACATATTAGAAAAACGCAGGCAGATGTGTCTGTCCTTCATCTCCTCTTCATTCCACAACCATAAGGATAAGTGTTTATCTGGTGCCAGTGTTCCTGTTGCTACTGATGGTTGTCTCCCTTCCTTTAAAGAAAATGGGCACTGCTTGCTAAAGATTGGGTGGAGGTGAAAAAACACTACTGAGCTCCACTTGAGTTATTTATGAATACAGAATGATAGCATGAAGGAATGCTTGGATTATGGTTACTGAATATGAACGGGAACTCCGATGAGTCAGGGCTCCTGATGCATGGCATCTTTAAAGCATGTTAGCTCCTCTCACACCCTTGTGTTGAATTCAGCTTTATGTCCTCTTAATACACTTCTTTAAAATGTCTGAAAAAAGCAGGAGCATATTGGATTTTGCTGTTTTAAAAAAGCCTAGCACACAAATCAATAGATAAGGTGATAAACTGGATCCACACTGGTGGGATTTTGGGCTGTCAAACATTCCAGATGCAAATCTGGTGTATGAGAAGCATAGTAGGCTAGAGGAATTTTCCCCATGTCTAAGATCCAATGTGAAGTGAGATTCAGAACGTCTGTATTCTGTCTGATATGGCATATTCCAGGAAAACACACCACCTCATATGGGCTCCTTTCACAACACACAATTATAGCACTAAGATGCCACATTAACTGTTATAGCAACTGTTATGGATTTTGCTGTTTATTTGTAATTTTCACCCAGAGAGATGTAGCACCTCTGCAAACTACAAAGCCCAGGTTTCACAGGGTGTAGCCATGGCAGTTACTATAACTGTGTAGTATTAAAGGGCCCCTGTTGTTGCTCTGGTGAACAGGGTTCAGAGCACAAGCATCATCATGACTGTTGAATATGGAAAATTGTTCTATCAGTTTGAGAAACCCTCACTAAAAACTAATAAAAAAACAAAGTTAACAGAGGCCCAATCATTCATTAGCCATTTATTTGCATATTTATTTATAAATCTTAAAAACACTGTTCCACAGAGAGGCTTAACCAGTACATGCTGCCAGTGATAAGCAAATCACTTCTCAGTGCAGTTCACTGATGAATAAATGTTTATTTCTGACTGGCTGAGCTGAAAAACTCCAGGTTGGCAAACAGTAAGGCTTAATATCTGATTATAAATACTGATTTTCTTTGTATTTCATGTCCGCTGTTTGGCTTACAACTTCAGGAGGCCATAAAGAAAACTAGAGATTATGAGATAACACTTGGCAGGCAAGACACAATTATGTCATGATGAGAACTGTGACTACTGCAGCATGTTGCATCTTAAGGAATGATTGACAGCACCTGCAGATTTGAATTGGATTACAGAACATCTGCTTCAAGGGGTATGTGAACAGAGAAGGCAAACAGACAAAAAAAATTATGTAGAGAAGGCTGACTCTAAAAACACATAATTAGTGGCTGCATATTTAAATCAAGCAACTAATTAACTATTAACATCCATGTTTTTCCTATAAATTCAGGGATTGGAATCTACAGGCAAAAATGCACCTGGAGTTGTCAATTCTGAACTCAGAGACCAGGAGAGAAGTGAAATGATTCAGTAAAGAGCAAGAGTTGAGACCAAGCTAGAAATATCACATCAAATGCCTTTTCCTATGGTACATTTTCCACATATAATGTGGGAGAAGAGAAACCCATAGGAAACCCTCCTTTGGTTCCCCAACTTTGCAACCCCTCCCCCCCCCCACCAAACTCACTTCAAGACTGGGAATAAGAAAAACACCTGGCTAGATCCCTTAACCATAAAAAGGTAAGGCATGTGAAGATAAAGGGTTTTATCATGCATTTTAAAATAAAAAACCCTTTCAGGTATCTTTATATACAGTGGGCCTGTGAGGTTTGCTTCCAGCCCTCCCCAATCCTCTTTGGCTACCAAAACCTGTGTCTGCGCAAGTGCCATTATATACATTGGAAAAGTAAAGTGGCAAAATCAAGGCCACTGTGGAATTATTCTTTTTAGGAAAAATGTCAAACTGGCTGAATCCACAGTTCTGGATGCAGAATTGTGGCAACATATATAGTGTACACAAAACAATGGTTTGATCCATGTTTTAGGGATTGCCTGCAGTGTATTGTTCCCAGTGCATACCAATTCATAGCCACCATAGTTCTGGAATGGGTACAGTTTTGAATGCTTGAGGCGAAGACACAGTACCTGGCCTTTTGCCATATGAGGAGGGTGTTTCATAAGTGGGATGTGATCTCCAATTTCCTAGGTTCTTGCTACTGGATTTGGATTTTATGGCCCAAATCAGAATTAAAATTCACCAAACAAGTTTATAGTCTTGATCACTGTGTTTAGTGGAAATATAAGGTATTCATTAATTAAAATGCTTGCTATATTTATATGTAAGTCTAAATACCCTGAGGGCATCAGTTTCTGCCTGATCTTAGAAGCTAAATAGTGTCAGTTCAGGTTAGGACTTGGATGGAAGACTGCCAAGGAATGAAGACAGCTGTAAGCTATATCCATAGGAAGGGAATGGGAAACCACATCTGTGTTCCTTGCCCAAGACAGCCCTATGAAATTCATGACTGTTGCACACCAATACACATCTATATAAATAAAAATGTAATGTTTATTTGTGATATTAGCAGAACTCAAAAATCACTGGACAAATTGACACCAAATTTGGACACAAGACACCTAACAACCCAATGTATGTCCTTCACTCAAAAAATTGATTTTGTCATTTGGGAGTTGTAGTTGCTGGGATTTATAGTTCACCTACAATCAAAGAACATTCTGAACCCCACCAACGACGGAATTGAACCAAACTTGGCACACAGTTCTCCCATGACCAACTGAAAATACTGGAAGGGTTTGGTGGGCAGTATCCTTTGGTTTTAGAGTAGTAGTTCACCTACATCCAAAGATCACTGCGGACTCAAACAATGACGGATCTGAACCAAACTCTACGTGAATACTCGATATGCCCAAATGTGAACACTGGTGGAGTTAGGGGAAAATAGAATCTTGACATTTGGGAATTGTAGTTGCTGGGATTTATAGTTCACCTACAATCACAGAGCATTCTGAACCCCACCAACGATAGAATTGGGCCAAACTTCCCACACAGAAACCCCATGTGGGCCACAGCAATGCGTGCCAGAGGACGTCTAGTTTTTCATAAACTACAAAGCACCAGAAGAAGAAAAAAGATTAAAAGCTATCATTGAATAAATAGTATATTTTCAAGAATTATTTTACTCTCTACAGTTTGCTCATTTGCTTTTATTATAATGTCTCTTTTTACCTGATGGGAGCACCTTTAGCCTGTGCTGGTCTCAGCAGTACAGTTATAGTCGTGGCAGTTTCATTGAGTGATGCATCGATTCCTTCATAGTCGGGTAATGTCGGAGCTGATCAAAGACAAATTTCAAGTTGGTCAAAACACTGAGAATTCTTACCTGTATAGCTGTACAGTGCAAAGTTTTTTTTAATAGCTAGTTTTTTTAGCCTTCCATGAAATTCACAGATGTATAATATGCCACACAAGAGTGGGAGCTTTATTGCATCTTGTGAGCTGCAGTGGGTTGCACCTATCTATTTTCAGCTGTACCTTGGATAGAAGATATAATCAGATATTACTTCAGGATTTATTGAGCTGATCGATGGATAGTGGATGATTGAGTGGGAAATTTATTTGCTGCTTGTTTTATCAGTAGACAATAGGGCTAGAATCAAGAGGGGCTTTGGCTACATGTGTCATTAAGTAATGCCATTTTCTTATCCCTGGTGTGTATGAACATTGTGATATAAAGCTAATTTCCATCCCTATATCTCAACAAGTGCTGCATAAGAAATAATCTGCACACATCCTATTACTGGATTGCATATCTATTATGTATAAACTGTTGTACAATATTCAATATTTTCCAGGTAATTGATGAATTTTTTGCAGTGATGTGACAGTGATGTGCCAACTCAGAATGGAAGAAATTCGCACTAACAGATGCACACTGTAAAATAATTACAATTTTAAAGGTTTTTAAAAACTTGGATATATTCTTCCTAAATTATTCATCTGTAAAAACTGGATTTTCAAACCTATTGTTGAAATATCAGTATTTTCCACTTGAGAATGCTGGATGATAAAGAACTATTCAAACAAAAGGATAAATGCACTCCAGTAGATAATTATGTCTGTCTTTTAAGACTCTTGGAATATTCTGTATGAAAGGTTATTTTTGCTGTATGGCAGCATTAAGAATCAACTTCAGATTTAAAAAAAGATGTCATTCATGGAAAATAGAATAGTCACCAGTCACTGAATGTTTGCCTAAGGGCCACTGATCATGATACGCATACCTAAATTGAGTGACTAGTCCCAACAGAATATACCCACTGGATCAGATGCTGAATCAGTCAAAACCTTTGTAAATCTCACTGATTAGCATGTTCTGGTTAGCGCAAGCACCTGAACTGAGGTTTCATTTTTACAAGTTCTAGAGAACTTTCATGGTCCACTACCCTGCAAATTTTCTGTGAGAATCAACAAGCAGTGGGAGTCACCAACAAGGACAGATTTCTAATTTGTTCTTCATTATTTCAGAACATAGTTTTTAAAGAAGTCTGCCAAAAATAACTATGATACAAAGGATTTTTCTAAAACAACAATGATTTGATAAAAGGTTCCATGAAATGAACATTGATCACAGTCGCTGCCGTGATACACAGGTATTTGCTACCTCCAATCACATTAACTTTAAATTTCAGGGGACACACATCAAGTACTTACAAAAAGATTTCAGAACTTTTAGCTGGGATTTTTAAAAGCCAGTTTTAAACTGAGTTACAAAGCTGCTTGTTCAAACTAAATACTGGAAGTACAAATCAACCACTTCATTTTGCATTATATGTGAATATGTCCAGAAAAGTGTCTACTTATAATGACATTATTTTAAAGTTTACATCATTTTCTTTTGATAATTATAGCACACTAATAAGGAACTCCCAAAGATACCAGTTAATTGCAATAGAACTATGAGTTCCTTGGATTTCTATGTTTTTAGTCAAATGCAATACCGTACATATGGAATTACTAGTACACTACGATTGGATATAAAATAACGAACAATCTAAATTTAGAGATGTAATCTTATATATGGCATTACATTTGGATTAAGCATCCGTTTCCACAGTATCTTTCATAAACAAATGAACATTGGGCAGCAATCCAACAGACAACATATGCTGCATGAAGATGACCACATATTATAGTACAGAAAAACTGGGCAGGCTTTTTCAAAGCTGCAGAATAACCCAGACTACTCAATGGATATTTTAGACTCCATAGTCTGCCATCTCCTAATTAAGTGTGTATATTCATGAACAAAACCCTGTCACTTCAGTAAATCTATAATGGACATCTGCTGTCTTTCTTGGTTGTTGCCAGCATGTTCATGTATTCCAAGAATGGAAGGAGAAGCAATTTACATAAAAACAAATTGAATACAACAAATCAAATCTGTTTTATATTTATAATTACCTGAAATATTGGTGGTTACATTGATGGCTGTGGCTGGTCCAAACCCTTTGACAGTGCTGGCCCTTATATAAAATTGATAGGTAGTCCCAGGGTGCAGGTGGGAAAAGACATGATGTGTACTGTTCCACAACTTGGACACGGTTTGAGCTGGTCCTGCCACTGGAACCGCAGGATCAAATGATCTTATACTGCTATAACTGACCTGTGGAATTAATTTTAAAAGACAATAGTATTGCTGGACTGATTAGGGCGTAACAATAAAACATCTAGATTTGAATGAAGGATACTAGTTTACAAATTCAAGTTCAGCTCATGCTGGCTATGGATTTACCATCTCAGTTTTCTATTCACCAGATTGTTCCGAATAGAATGAAAAGGATATGTCTTAACCACTGCATTCCCATTCCTCTTAATTTTATCTGACTGGCCATGCTGAATTCAGCTCACAATGCCATTATATTTGGGTCACCAAACACAGCTAGGAAAATTTATAAGGTCTTTCCCTAATCTCTCAATAACATTAGACATCTTTGCAAAGGCAATAAGCACCTTTTTAAAAAACAGTGACAATTTTGTTAATTAATTAGCTTAGTTAATGACTGCATATTTCTTTAACTGTTCTGTTTTTGTTAAAAGCAGCACTTAGAGAAATACTATTTTGTATATTTAAGTCCAACTATGATATACTGATCTTTCTCATTAGCAAAGTATTACCTATATCCTTTGGGAATTCAGCACTGAGAGTACTAATGAAATAAGCACAAATTAGCATATTTCTAAAACAAGTAAATATATGACTAAGGCATTGAAGTGTCTCCCAAAGGCATTTGATTTATTTTTTAAATTAAAAAAATAGTTTTGTAGAAACTGCCTAGTTCTGAAAATGATAGATATGCAGGAAATTAGGCGCAAAATGATCGTGTTTCCTTCATTTCCAAAGGATCTATTCATCAAACCACTGCTATGCCTAATTTTTTTTTAAAAAGTAACAATTTGCATTCAAAGTTTCTTGAATGTGAAAAAAATGTTACCTTGAGGTTTAGAAATGCCTGATTTCTATTAATAAATTCTCACACATATTACCTGTAGCCTTCACTAGACACAGCACCATTAAATCATGATTTTGAAAGCCTGTAGATTAATGTTCAAGATCTAAAGCAAAGTTATACATTTAAGCCATAGATTTCATCATTTATTAAAGCCTAACTAACAGTGTCTCGGCAAACTGAATGATGGAACAGTAGACTGAAATGTTTATTCTTAATTATTTTAGTAATACTATGTCTATATACGGCGCTCCATGCAGTCATGCCGGCCACATGACCTTGGAGGTGTCTACGGACAATGCTGGCTCTTCGGATTAGAAATGGAGATGAGCACCACACCCCAGAATCAGACATGACTGGACTTAGTGTCAGGGGACTACCTTTACCTTTTATGTCTATATAATTTATTCTTAAGATTAGTATCAGTGTATTTTGAGGCCACTAATCAATCAGTAGGTGGGGATATAGGACATGGATTTCTTGAGAAGATAACTGTTGTGTTTCTGATGAAGCAGGGATAAAATGTTCTGTTGTATGCAGGAAACTTCTCAAAAGAACAAGGTATCATTGCAAGTGTATTGGTAACTATGTTCTTGCCTGGGACCCATTCTGAGTATGAAATGGTGATTTTGACAAGATATACTTCACTGATTATCATGAGAACTATGATGACACTTTCTGAATAGAAAATCTTCTCACAATACATAGTCGTGGTGAAAACCCTAACATTTTCAAGGCTTTGGTGCATTAATCCAACATGGCAAACTATAATTACATTGTGGTGAACATAAAACTGGAACAATAATCAAAACTTGTGAAATGTTAATACCTCATACTGTGTAATGATGCCATTTGGTTCCATTGGTTCTTTCCAGTTCAGGAAGATCTTGTCTTCAAATGGGGTTCCCTTCAATGATTTTACAGGCACAGTACCAGGCACTGCAGAAACAGAAGCAAAACAATTCTATTAAGGCCAAACAAAATCTCAGTTCTATCTGTCTAATTGGATTTTGGTCTTGGGACCAATATAAATTATAAAGTGAGACATCTGAGTTGGCCAGTATAAAGATATTGCTATTGATCAATCCCGCATCGCTGCCACCAATATAAAGATATCGATCGCAAATCGATCAATCCCGCAACCTCTGCCACCAATCTGTAATGCAAGGGAACACTCTAGCTGCCCAAAATATTAAAGGTGTTTTTAAGACCACCAAGCACTGTGTCTTATTATTTCTTCTTTTTTAAAAAAAACAGTTGAGGCTGTTTAAGGAACTATAGCCACAAAGGCACACTTGACTCAGGCTTTCAAAATTTGAATAATCGATGAAAGTTTATTGATAAAAACACAAGAAAGTAAGTGCTGTTTAATATCTTGACTGTTACAGAGAAATTTTGGCTTTTGTCTTGAAATGCGTAATGGTTACATATAATGGTTCTGTCTTTGTTACAATACAGAGATTTTCTTCTCTTCCTTAACAAGCAAACCTAACAGGAACTGAATCTCTGTCAGGATTAATTCTGTAGCTTAGCTACCCTAAACTATGGCCTAACTAACTACAATCCAGCTATGTTTCCCCTCATAGCTGTTCCAGTTTGCTTCAGCTGACTTTGCTGGCAAACCTATGACAAAATGCCTTCTCCTAAACTATCTCAAGCACAAACTTCTCAAACACCCTTTCTCTCCCTACTCTAATCTCCAACTCCCTCTCTTTCTCACTGAAAAGGCTCTTTTCCCCTCCAAGTCTCTCTAAACTCCGCCCCTTTTCCTAAACCAATCCTGGCCGTTCTCATGCTGACTCGGGCCTAAGACACTCCCCCTCTCTAAAATGGTGCCTTCCCTGATTTAAACTGGCTACTGCTGCTTTTGCCAGGCCCACCTAAGCTGCAAACTAGCTGGCAGACTTCTTCTAGGCCCTGCCATCCAGGCGGAAAAAGGTAAGGGATCTTTACAGCCAGCAGGAACGTGAGGCAATGAGTCATGGCCATAGATGCTGGTGGTGCCTTCCAGTGGGCCAGCTCCCCCCCCCAACCAGGAAGAAGCTCAGCGGAGGAAGTTCCACCCAGTCCTACGGCTTCTGTGCAGACCATGCAGCTCCGAAGACTGTAAACATTCCTAACCTTTGTGAGCTAACAGGCAAAACATTACAAATTATTTTTAATCACTTAGAAGATATTAATAGGAAGGTAGACCTTCTATATGATAGATATACCTTACATTTAAAGACACTTTAGGACACAGGACCATCGGGGAAGGAAGGTGAGGGGATGACATGGCAATGTTCATTTGGTCAATAATTATCCTAGCCCTAAGGCCTTTTGTATGGGGGGTTATCCATCTATGCCCCAAACAAAATACCCCACTCAGCAGAGACTTCTGCAATCCAATAAACTAGTTCTGGAGGTACCCAACAATTATAACAACAGAGGAACAATAGAGAAAGATAGGGCTGCTAATAATATTCCAGAACTTATTCATGCTGAAGAGACTCCTTACCATCAGACCTCATCTGCTGAGATGGAGAATTAGAGCTAGGAGAGTATTTAAAGACCTAGTAATATGCCCCCATAAGCAGGGTTGAGTGGGAACACCCTAAGAGATGACCCAACCCCTGCCATAGTAATGAACCACCCCTTGAAAGTAACAAGACAAGTGGATTCATCCACAAATTATATACAAATCCATAATTTTGGCCCCCAAACCTGCCCTCAACTTATATGTGAATTGTGGTAAGTCCAGCCTATTTGAGCCATTCAAGCATTGTGATCTGCCCCACTGCCAAATTATATAACAGTAATATGGGTAAAATGATGTACTATATTTTGTTTCATTTAATTGTAATTATATTTTAAATGTATTGTAAGTGTTTCAATTATGGTTTTAATATGTAGTTATTTAATTCTTTTTAACTTTTTTAAATTTCTAGAAGTCACGTTAGATCCCATCCCTGGAGAAAAGTAAAACATAAATCTATAAATAAATAATCCGTAATAAATATGTTTTCTTTCTGTAAATTTGTGTTCATTATTAGTATTCAGATTATAGTCCAAGTCACTAGTCAGTCAACTCAAAATCTTTCTGGATTTCAATTCAATAAGACGTTTCTGAAGAAGCCCTAGAGCTCTTTGTGAATAGCAGATCATTTGGAGAAAGTTGTATATTATGAAAGACAGTTATGTGGACAACTGTGGGAAAATGTGAAAACTCAAACAAGCATTTGAGTTTATTTTTTAAATATCAAACCCTTTATTCATCAAGTCCTTTAAATTATTTTTTTCTGTGCAGTTTTTTCAACATGCAAAGAGTTTCATGTCTGACATTTCATTATGATTTATTTTCAAAATATATTGGAATTTTGTAATGCAAGACAGAAACTAAAAATAAACATTGGGTCAAAGGAAATATTGTACAGATTGCTAGTTGTATCATGAAATAGCAAGAAGTTCTTCACAAGTGCTAGACTTATTTCTGACTGCATGAAACTATAAATAATATGCAGACCCTTGGGCAAGCAACTTAATTTGATAAATTAAAAAGAAATTCATAGTGTAAAAGGACCATAGCTACACAGATGAGATTTCCTCATCTTGCATGAGATATATTTATCCATCAGGCAGCTGAAGATGGCTGTTCATTGCTTCACAGGGACTCCAAAAGAGATGACAGCTGATGCGCCTTGACAGCCCCTCTGTGCGGTTTTGTGGCACTTGCTGATGTGCTGTAGGCACCATCCCTTTTTCTATGGGGATGCTCTGTGCTTCTCTTATCTACAGTTCAAATGAAGCGTGCATTTGCACAGGGCCTAGCCCAGGTGATAGACTTCCTTTGGCAGTCGAATGTGCACACGCCAGACTGCAATGAAATATGTCTAGCAAATGAACATGGTTGTATTATGTACAATGCTTGAGTGTTCACTGCAAGACACAGTCACTTACAGCTGCAAATTTATAGCCTACTCCAGTGCTTTCTGTCTGGATACGAGACCATAGAAGTGGAAATCACCATAATAGAATAAATTTACAATTCAGGAGCTAAAGAACAGCTTGGTTAGTTTAGACTGATGTATGATTTTACGCCTCACTACTGATAACTTCTTTGTTCCTTTGCCCCTCAGAACCTGCCTGGTAACCATACTGAAGTGACAGAAGAAGCCACAGCATGGAAATAATTTCCAGTTAAGGAGGAAATCAGGGATCAACAACCTGCGACTTTTGGCCTAGTTTTAAATGCCCTTGTACAATATATCTGTTTGGACTTCTGGAAGCAATGATTTTTCCTTTGGCCAGTAGCCTATTGGGCAAAGCAGAATGGAGAGAATTGGGGATAAAGGAGGAAAACAGAAATATGGGGGGAAAGAGCATGGTAGACAGAAAAGGGTTGCTCCTACTCAGAAATGGCTTCAGCCTTAAGGAAATTTAGAATGTTATGGGCGGGGGAAGCTCTCCCACCTATCCCTAGACTTAGGGTACATCTACATTGCAGAATTAATGCAATTTGACACCATTTAAACTGCCATGGATAAATGTTATGAAATCATGGGAGTTGTAGTTTTACAAAGTCTTTATCAAAGAAAGCTGGTGCTTCATCAAATTAGATTTTTTAAAATAATTACTATTTTTTTTATAAAATACAAATTGCATGCAATAACATCCTGTGGAAACTTACTGATAGTGCATGGGGAGCAGACCCAGCATTACTACGAACATCAGCCTTGGCCTTGTCTTACTCAACTACTGAGTATGCCTGCCCCATCTGGCCCAAACCTGCCCACTGCGGGTGAATACAATGAATGAAACATAATCACAGGATTAAACCAAAACCTGCTGATAAGACTTTATACACTAGCTGGCATCCCCCCTGCCCGATGTGTGATGGGAAGTTGCTGCTATTGCGAGAGAAATAAGATTGAACACTGCAAAAGTCATCCACTGTATGGCTATCAGCCTCTTCCCAGCAGACTTAAATAAAGGAAAAGTTTCATGAGAACTCCTCTTAATGTTCCTCCAGCAACAGCAAGAATATCCCTGTGGGCAGAAAAATCAGGCAGTTCCAACTGGATGGACCCTATGAGGGTCCTCCTCCAGGGGCAAACCAAGAATGAACAACTTGAAAGTCCCTGAATAGACTCAAAAGATAACCTGGCAAAATAGCACTACCTAAAAGAACCCTCCGTTTTGTGCAATTGTGGAGCACAACAAAAAACTCAGCATTCTACAACTTAATTCTACAGTGTGCATCCTGAGAAATCTCTTATCTGTCCATAGTATATAAGCTCTCCTGAAAATAGAGGGGGGGGGGGTTATATACGATCTTATCATTTTCTACCTTATCCTTAGAAATCAACAACAGAGGAAGCATGCCTCCATAATGCATTATGTCTGTAATTTATAGTTGAAGTTGAATCTGGCCCATTTCCATGGTGTGCTGTATCTTATGACCAAAATTCTCCAATTGCTAATCCATAACCACAAGTATTAAGTTCTTTTGCACCTTCTTGTTTCTTTTCTTCATCTCATTTTGACTGTGTATATGTGTGTCAATTCTTTGCTTCTTCTGCTGGAGATGTGATAAGCTGGATATAGAGCCTTGACTACTGATTGTGATTCATGGATGTAGGAGAGTTGGAATGATGAAACTGTCACCACAGCATTTGAAACACAGTATGCAAACATATAGAATTTCACATTTTTAATAAGGATATAAATAATAGGTTTTAAAAAATCTAGAGTTGGCAATTTTGTGTCTGCAGAAGATTTATATCTTTCTTCATATTCCCATGCTTCTTTTTAAGGATCTCAAGTGATAGAAACTTGTACACAAATTGAATTATACATTGCATTCAAATATTTTACTAGTGAAAACAGAGTTGATGTGAGACTGCATCGTTATTTAACAAAAATGTTGTCAACAAGATAACTTCAGACTGAAATGTCTCAAAAACCAGTATTAAAATAGAAGACAGAAACTGGGCATATAAAGATAGGATAATACTAGGAATAGTTTGCTCTTGCACCCTGAACATAGATGGTATATTCATATTTACATAGATAAGAAATCTTGCTAAACTGCCTATTCCCAATGAGGGTTCATTAACATCTATTAGATTTTTTTATCTCCCGTTTGAGAAAAAGGCAACAATTACTGAATGATTCTGCAGGTTGCAAGTCTGTGTGCTAAATTAGTGATTTTCCTTTGAAAAGAATAAAGAGAAAATGATGTCAACTTTGTAATTTTGAAAACAGTCCTGCAACATGATAGAAGCTATGGTATCCAAATTTTGCAAAAACTGATTATAATTGTAACCAATAGAAATTATCTGGCTATCTTACAGAGGAGGAGAAAAATGTGATTCTGCAGTCTCAAAATAGTAGGATAAGTGAAGATTTCAACTCCTATTAAAATATGCCTCTAGTATCCAATAATGATAACAAATACCAGAGCAGGGAAAGAGTCTCCCCACATTCAATATATCTGAGAACAAAGGCTTTCATGGCTGGAATCACTGGGTTGTTGTAGGTTTTTCAGGCTATATGGCCATGTTCTAGAAGCATTCTCTCCTGACATTTCACCTGCATCTGTGGCAAGCAACCTGAGTACAATTCCTGTCAGCTCTTCACTTTCATGAGGGCTAGGACACAGGATTCCCATAAAAGTGGAGATTGTGGATATAACCTTGTGCTCCCAAGCTGCATTTAACACATGCAAAAAGATATTTGTGAAGCTTGTTTCTAAAAGGTACTAAGTCCATATGAACAAATTTCACAGGAATTGAAAAAATGTGCCGAGGATATGCATCTTTTGCTACTAAATGCAATTTTCCAAGTTCTGTACTGAAGTGATAGTTTTGATCTATATATAATATTCTACTCTTAGCCAACAACGTGCTGCCACCTGTGCATATAGGTATTCCTTCATTCACTTGCTCACTCAGTCATATTAATGGGAAAAAAGAAGGGGAACCCTATCTCATCCCCTTCCTAACTGCATGAGTGAGCTGAAGAAGTGTGGGCAGCTGGGCCTAGTCATTCCATCAGTTTGATTTCCTCTAGTGACATCAGTGTTATTGAAGTCCCTCTTAAAATGGTATAGGGCACTAGTGGAGGCAGTGACAAATATAGGAATCTGTGATAGACAAATCCATGAACACTTAAACTCCAAATGTGGATGGCTGATTGCACGTACTTTTCCCCAATGAAGTGATTGATTGCTATTCTCTTGAGAAGAAAAAGAAATAAAAAATAATGGGCTTGCACCTTTTAGAGGCAATGTGTCTGATTTTTTTTAATTATTCCTAGAGGCAATTCCTTTGCACTTGATTTTTGTCAAGCAATTTTGAAATTGTTAAATGGTGATGCCATCATTGCATTGAAGAACATCAGAACATCTACAAAAGCCCATTTAGTCCAATCTACAATTTTTCATATTGGCCAACTAGATGTCTGCGGAAGCTTGTAAAATGGACGAGGGCAAGAACATCATCCTACTCATATTCCCCAGTAGCTAGTAACTGTTTCTGATTATGGAAGTAATATACAACCATCAGGAATAGTACCCACTATCCTAGGTACTTCTTTCCTTTAATCAACCAAATGAACATTGTCGTCCTCTAGACAGCCAGCTGTCTGGTCATAAACATTGGTATCATTGGATTTTGCTTCACTTTTGAAGCTTAGGAATACTTGCAATCTATATATGCTCAACACAAAATAAATACATACTGTTGCTTTCCCAGTGTGTTTGTTTTTCTCTCTCCATAGCTTATTGATACACTACAGCAAATCATATCTCCAGTGTAAATCATAGTTAGTGCAAACTACGAGGCTAAGGCAGACATAGGCAAATCCAAGCCGGCGGGCTGGACACAGCCTCTCAGCTCTTCCCTCTGGCCCCTGCCTTCTTTGGGCCTTCTCTCAACAGGCTGCGAGGAGGACTCTTCAGGCACCAACTGTCCCCACCAACTGCACCATTTTGGAGTTCAGTGCCATATTTATGCAGATGATACCCAACTCCATAACTCTTTCCCACCAAAAGTCAAGAATCCTGTTCTGATCCTGAACTGGCCCCTATTGTCAGAAATTGACTGGATGACAGCGAATAGGTTGAAACTAAATTTTGACAAGACAGAGGTACTCCTGGTGAATCATAAGGTAGATCAGGATATGGGGATTCAACCTTTGTTGGATGGGGTTGCATTCCTCCTGAAGATATAGGTTTGCAGTCTGGGGGTGATACTGGATTCATCACTGACCCTGGAACCTCAGGTGTCAGGGGTGATCAGAAGAGCCTTTGCACTTTTAAAGCTTGTGCGCCAGCTGTGCTCATACCTTGAGACACCAGATCTGGCAATGGTAATATATGCCTTAGTTACATCTTGATTGGACTACTGCAACATGCTCTGTGTGGGACTACCTTTAAAGAGTGTTCAAAATATTCAACTGGTTCAGAGATCAGCAGTCAGGTTACTAAGTGGAGCTCCGAACAGGGAGAGAAAAACCCTATGTCATGGCAGCTTCACTGGCTTCCAGTTACCTTTAAAGTCCTAAACCGTTTGTGTCCAGACTTCCTGATAAACTGCATCTTCTCATATGAACCTGCACGGATGCGGCAGTCAGGTGTAGGTGGGGACAAATGAGTGGGCCTTCTCTGCAGTTGCCCCCTGCCTCTGGAACTCTCTCCCAAAGGAAATTAGAATGGCCCCTTTGCTGTCCTCTTTCAGAAAGCTATTAAAAACTCACCTTTGCTCCCAGGCATATGAAGAGCCTAACATCTAAAGATCTGGCTTGTTAAATAAGGGCTGCATTTCTGGATATGGCTTTTAATTCCAGTTGTGACTTTTAACTTTGGCCGTGGTTTTTAACCTTGTTTTATTTTTTAAATGTTGTGTGTGAAATGGTTTTTTATTGACTTTTTATGATGATTTATTTTATGATTGATTGTTTATGATGCTTTGTTTAGTATTTCATGTTGTTAGCTGCCCTGAGTCCCCACAGGGAGATGGGGTGGGATACAAATAAAATTTTGATTGTTTGATTGACCACTGCTGTACATTGAAATACACAAATAACTATAGAAAACATTTTGTAAAACATGGAAATCCAATGATGTACTAGCCTTTCACAAGTTTGTATTTTAAAATTTCCTTACATTCTAATTACTCAGAGACAAACCCAAATACATAAACATTAAATTACTTCCACATATTATAACTTCCATCCAATTAGAAACTTCATTTAATGCTATTTTAATTTGTGTAAAATTACAATTCATAAAGTATAATAACTAAAGAGCTTTGTAAACATCTAAAGTATTCTTTATTTTCCCCCAAACAGGGTGAATAAAACTATCTTGTTAGCAGAATTAAATAAAGGGTTTTTCAATGCAGAATTCTCAGCATATGTTATTCTAAATATTTGGGAAGCTGAGAGATCAAAACAATCCCAGTATGACTTTGCTGAAGTTACTTCAATGACTTTACCCAGATGTTCACAGTAGGCCTAAACACTGGGCATAATACTGCTGGGCAAATCCCCAGAATGCTTCCCATGAAAATACTCTCTCAGTCACCCACAGCCATGCTGGACATGACCTCTGACCAGAATGTCAAATGTTACTTTTAAAAGTTAGTTATTATAATAATTGATATTATGGAAAAGCATTGCACTGCCATTAGTTACTGTAATGTCAAAAAGTTCCTTGTTGTATTACTTGTTATTTTTCATTTCTATTCTGGTCAACATGCCTCTAACATACCTTTTAAAAACCACCAAGATAGAAAATCTAGCAGGAAAACTTTACTTATTACACATTAATAAGGTAAATGTCCTTGATCAATATTAGTAAAAGCTGCTCTGGATCCAGTACACAGAGAAAGGCAGAACATCAAACAAACAATGGTTTGTTGCAGATCACTAATGGTACATCTGCACTGTAGAAATTAATGAGGCACCATCAATTTTTGACAGAGATGGCTAAAATTCTTGTAAAACTACAACTCCCATGATTTCATAACAATAAGTCATAGTAGTTAAATGTGACAAACTGTATCACTTCTAGTGTAACTTGTTACTTGTAACTTCCAAAGTTTGCTTGTGAATGCAAGAATGAAATCTCCTTTAATTTTAACCAGTCAATAACAGTAATTACTATTCAACATTGAACCTAGTCAAAGGGGAGATTTGTAAGTGAGGGGAGGGAGAAAACAGCAAATGTGGTATTGTGGCTCATTCACTACCCTATTACTATTCTTTGTATATTCAAGCCAGACTTAGTTCTTTTCATATAATATTAAAGAACTTCATAAGCCAAAGATTATTTTTGTCCATGTCCAAGTTATTTACACTGATGTGTGTTGACATGGCTGTCATTTTCATGTGGGCATATACAAATGACACCTCTTAAGGCCTGTTACAAAATGCACAGTGATTCACAGTATGAAGATGCAACAAGTAATCATCAAGCTGGAGAAGGGGGGAAAGAACGAGGAGAGAAAGCAACACAATGGACAGCTTCAATCAACACTTGCTTTGCCGACTACAGAAAAGGACCTGAGAAAAATGTTAACCTACCATCTTCATCTGTTTGGATAATTGTCTCTTCACTCTCTTTTCTTCCCTCGGGGTTAGTCAGGATCATTTTGAGGCTCACATTTGTGTAAGGAGGCAGGTGATTCACAACATGTTGAGGGGCTTTGGGATCCATATCCAAGCAGTCCGCCTTGCTTTCGTTGTGACCACGGAAGTAATGGTAGCAGATGGTGACATTAAAAGTGTGGCAGCGAGTGATATTGTAACCTAAAGATTCCCAATCGACAGCAATACGTCGGGCTTGGATCTCAGCAATCTTCAGGGTTTTCGGCGTTCTCATTGGTTCTGAAAAATGCAAAATGTAATTAAGGCTAGAAATAGTTACAACCTTCAAAAAATGTCCTACCAAAAATTTGGAGCTGCATTTGAGACTGGACTGAAGAGATTTGGGTTTTAGTGCCCATTGAGCAATGAAGCATACTGGATTGGTCTCACTCTTTCAGACTCACAGACAGCCCCATAGCCAGAGGGGGAGGGGGTGGGATTTAAGGGTTCCACCCCCCCCCCCCAAATGTGTCAGGTTAAAAAAAGACCTGGTTTCCAGTTAAATTTCATGAGTAAACTAGGTTTTTTTGAACCTGACACATTGTGGGGGGGGGAGGTGAACCCTTAACACCCCCCCCCCGGGCTATGGGCCTGCTCACAGGGTGGTGTGAAAGTGAGCCAAGACCTTGAATTAACTGCAGCAAAGCTAAGGCACATATGTAATAAATAAATAAATTCAGGATGGGCCCTGTATCCATGAGGAAGATGTTCATGAGTTTACTGTGAAAACATCACTGGATAATAGTGAACACGATTGAAATGAACAACTTCTGCTGGAAGTAACCATAGAACTACTTGGGAGTACCTAAAGAGGTATCCCTGAAGAAACATACCACAGAACAGTGGTTCCCAACCTCTTTTTTTTATCAGAGACCACTTGGAAGTACCTAAAGAGGTATCCTGGAAGAAGCATACCATAGACCAGTGGTTCCTAACCTTTTGTTGATCAGGGACCACTTGACCACAGACCACTCTCCAACATTAGTACCAAAAGGTTTATGAAACGGGTTATGGTCAACTTTAGATTCAGTTATTGGGGGTGCTGATTCAGAAAATTGCATTGGAAAGATCACATCAGCCCTGTTTTCTGATTCAGCACATATGTCATTCAGTAGTCACCATCTGCTCACTCACAGAAAACCATATTAAATAATCTAGAGCTGATGTGGTCGTAGTAATCTTTCGTGGGTAGTTAGCCTCTCCCCTCCTGACATCCCTGTTGCCTTGAGGGTCTTGCAAGACCAGTTGCTTTCGTTGCCACATGTATTTGTGGCAACGGTGTAGCAATGGTGAGGTCACGACCCATATTTTTGTTCTTGCAGACCACTGGTGGTCCATGGACCACAGGTTGGGAAGCACTGCCATAGACCTTATCGAGTAAACTAAGAAAATTCCAAGAGAGGGCATATTTTGTTCAATTTGTATAGGTGAAACCACCAGCTTCTGTCTCACAGGTAGGGCAAGCGTACTGTAATTACATTATTTTATTAATACAATTCCAATAAAAAATAAATAAATGTAAAAGCTTTGATGTGTGATTCTGATATAGTATATTGTACATTAATATAAAATGTATGGATATATAAGGGGGGAGAGGGGAGGGAGGGAATATGGGGCTTCCAGGGGTGGATTAGGTCCACCATGCAGAACAGATATCCTTTGGTCTGTAGAACGAACATCATTCTTAACTGTATTGTTGAAGGCTTTCATGGCCGGAATCACTGGGTTGTTGTAGGTTTTTTGGGGGCTTTATGGCCATGTTCTAGAGGCATTTTCTCCTGACGTTTCGCCTGCATCTATGGCAAGCATCCTCAGAGGCACTGAGGTACCTCTGAGGATGCTTGCCATATATGTAGGTGAAACATCAGGAGAAAATGCCTCTAGAACATGGCCATATAGCCCAAAAAACCTACAACAACCCAATCATTCTTAACTGCTGCTCCTCCTGTAAACATTCAAATATTAACATTTATGTATATTAAAATAAAATATTTAAATTAGTTGACAAGTTTGGCTAAATCACAATATTTGACAAAAACAAGAAAATTCCACACTAAGGATCACAACTGCTGTAGCAATGCTGGTTTTTTGGGGGCATGTACTAAATTTGGGTAAATTGGATAATACATCATCCTGGTGAAAAGTCAACATGTTCTGCACTGTGATTTATCATGCCACTGAGCAATGCTGTTTACTAATTACACTAATTGCTCTACTAAACTAGCAGTAACCAAAATGATACAGATATTAATTAAAATATATTACTTGGATAATGTGGTTATTTATTTACTCACAACAGTAAGTCCCAAAAAACAATCTATAAAATCATTTTGAAAAATCTAGCATCAGGTTCTTTCTTCAATTCCCCCAAAGAAGCTAACATCTTAGCTGGTAAAGATATACATATTCACCCGAGCTTAACCAATAATATGTGCAGAGATCTTCAATTGGATGAAAAGAAAGGCACATAACTTATTTCTCTCTCTGGGCACCTGTCAATGTATCATCCACTCCCCAGAGTATTAATCTCTCATGCAAGACTAAATTTATAGCCTGACTTAATTAAAACATTCGTGTAATGAAAGTCATGCCCATGACTTCTAATGCACTTCAAAACACACGGCACACGCTTCTAAACTCTCAGTATATTCATTTACCACAGCAATTTAATGTTTGCATACATTAACTTTCTCCCAAATTCTGGATGAATATATTCACAAACATCTTCAATGAGCAAAAAATGTGTTTCTTTTCATGCTTAAGCCTTCACTGTTTTAGAGAATGTTCGTTTAGTAAACTAAAAATCTTAGCTAAGCAAACAGCACAAGGCACAGATGGTACAGCAAAACAGGGGCACCATTAAATGTGTTCAAGCATACAGTTTACAAGACAATACAAACATCTAACCACCCCCATGTCCCTAATCCTTGTGATACATTCATAAATAATCAAACGTGTGCTTTTCTGAATTAAACTGCCATACATGGATTAATCATCTTGCCCACAATGACTAGATTCCCACTTGGATTTCTTTGTTTTTCTCTCAAATCCGTACAGTGTCTTTAAGCTGTTTTAATTTGCTTTAATTGTTAAACATAATCACAGACTGTTTATTGTTTTAAATTTAAGTCACCCCTAATGATTTTAGATTGATTTTACCTGCAGACTTATGATATAGCATGTGATACAAATGTTTAAATGCATAAGGTGAAATTTTTACAGAAGGATATTTCAGCAAGGAGAAACATTCAGCAGAGGGCAGGAGGGGAGACTTGGATTTGAGACAAACAAACAAACATTATAGCCCACAAAGCAATGAAATCTGAACATGGCTATATTTATAGACTCACTGGTTCCTGAGAAAGGGACTCTGAATGGTTAGACACTGCATTTTTTCAATGCTTATTCTTTGGGTTTTGCAACCTAACTCCAACCAATCTGCAATAAAACGAAGGTTTTCACACTCTGGGGAATATGTTTTTAGAATGTCACAACATAGTCAATTCCTGGTTGGAATTCAAAGGGTCATGAACTCATAATGGCCTTTTACAAACTGGGCAACTTGGAAGGCGCTGAACAGACTACACTCTGGCACCACAAGATGCAGAGCCAACCTTAAGAAATGAGGCTACAAAGTGGAATCCATGACATGCGAGTGTGGAGAAAAGCAAACTACAGACCACCTACTACAATGTAACCTGAGCCCTGTCGCATGCACAATGGAAGGCCTTCTAATAGCAACATCAGAGGCACTCCAAGTAGCCAGCTACTGGTCAAAGGACATTTAATTGAATGCCAAGTTTGCAAACTTTGTGTGTGTGTGTGTGTGTGTGTTTTATAAATACAATACAACTGTTTGGTTCGCTCCTGACACAATAAATAAATAAGCTCCCTCAACATTATTAATTCTAAAATTATCATACTAGGAAATGGTATTTTGACAATACATATCCAGTTGATGGAAGAGCATACAACTCCTTTATTTAAATAGAGTCAATGTCTACATGTTATTTCCATGCAGAATGAATAACTGAAGGCTTATCTAGTGTGGGTCCAGGCAATCTGAATACAGGGATATTGTATGGCCCAACAAAGAGCTCTTTCAGACCATTTGTCTTTGTCCTTCTACCTTCAGAGGGGATATAGGTGGGGATATAAACCTTCTAGGTGGAAGTTACCAATTTCTGTAGCTCCCCTCCAAAGGAGATTATCATTTCAGTCTATCTGCTAGCAGATCTTTTTATATTAATGCAGTCTTCAAGGAACTCACTGGTTCCTGAAAAAAGGGCTTTGGATGGATACTGTATTTTATCATATATAATTTAATTATTTTAAATTGGTTTGAATTCAATTCTATTTAATTACTAGAATTAGTTTTATTATGATTTAGAAAAGGAAACTTCGTTTTGTTTAACCAAACCTCCAGTCTCAGTCTGGTAGAAAGAAAAGTCAGAAATCAAATTAATTTGAAAAATAAATAAATCTTTCTTCAGGTTTAGGTAAGAAACAGTCAAGACAATTCCAGATTTTTGCATATTTTGAGGTCAGAAGGGACAATGTCTGCTTCTGATACATTGCTGGTAAGCAATGGAAGAAATTGCATATTCCTCCTGACTAAGCTTACCTGTTCCTGCAAAAGGTTGAGCTGACCATAGTATCATGCCTTAGTTAGATCCCATTTGGATGTAACTTCGAAAAGTGTTCAGCTGGTACAATAGTTGTAGCCATAGTGTTAACTGGGGCATGTTATAACATCACATAAGTACAACAACAGCATCACTGGTTACTAGTTTGTCTCCAGGCATATTTCACAATGTGGGTCATGACCCATAAAGGCTATCCATTTTAAGTTCAGGCTGTCTGACAGAGAGTAGTTGCCTATATGATCCCACCTAGCTATCGAGATTATCAAGACAAGACTTTCTCTCTGCCTCACCACCTTCACAGACATAGTTGTTGTGATGTTTTTGGTGGCTACCCCTCTTTGTCCTTCCACTTGCAAGCAAAGACCTCTCCCCCCCCCCCTTCTAACAGGCTTTTAGAACTCAAGAACTTCTTAAAAATACGTTATATAGAAGATGTTGAACTGTTTTAATATTGTCAAAGGCTTTCATGGCTGGAATCACAGGGTTGCTTGTCGAAGGCTTTCATGGCTGGAATCACTGGGTTGTTTTAATATTGTTAATAGTTTAATTCTATTTTCATGATGATCTTGTGTATTTCAGCTACACTGTACTTAT